CCAAATTTTTGCCGGTGGGTTACCCGGCCATGTGCCACCCCAGAACCAACCTTTAGACAAGTCTAGGCCCTGCGCACGAGAGGCTGAAACTTTTGGCGGGAGAATTGCTAACTCGGGAGCGGGAGAAGCTATAAAGCTGAAATTTTTTATGTTCTGCGTCTACACAGAACTCAAAGATTTCAAATTCAGCCCCCGGGAGTGCATGGTTCCCGCGTACAGCCTCGTAAGGATTCCTAATGCGAAAATCGCTAACTTGGGAACCAAGAAAGTTGGGAAACTGAAATTTTCAGGGAATGTTCCAAGCGCATGAATAACCTAAAGTTATCAAATTCAGCCCCAGGCATGTATGGTTGTCATGTGTGGCCCCGTGGAAATTTTTGGCGGAAAGTGGCTAACTTGGGAGCCAGGAAAGCTGAGGGCTGAAATTTTCAAGGAATGTTTCCAGCATAAGCACAACAATAACCTATCAAATTCAGCCCCCAGTCTTACGTGACCCTCGCGTACGGCCCCCTGAAGTTTTTTGGCAAGAAAATGGCTGACTCGGAAACTAGCAAAGCTGGGGGGCGTGAATTTTCAAGGATTGTTCCAAGCCCATGTACGACTTGAAGTTATCAAATTCAACCCCCAGGCAGGCGCGGTTCTTACGTCCCGTGAAACTTTTTTGGCGAGAAAGCGGCTAACTCGGGAACCAGAAAAGCTAGGAGGCTGGAATTTTCAAGGAATGTTCCTAGCCTACGCACAGCTGCTTAAAGATTCTAAATCCAGCGCACAGGTCACGTGCGGCCCTGTGAAAGTTTTGACAGGAAAATTGTCAACTCGGGGACCAGAAAAGCTGGAAAGCTGAGATTTTAGGAGAATATCCCTCGTCCAAATACAGCTTAAAGGTTTCAAATTCAGCCTGCATGTACTCATTGTTCTCGTGTACTAGCATTTAAATTTTTGGCGAGGAAATTACTCATTGAACAGCTGGGTCATTACTCATTGAACGGTAGGCTGGGATACACCGGGCCCGCGCGACCATGCGTTTTTGCACCAGACTTTAAGTACTCAGGTCGTTAACTGCATGAATGTTTGTTGCTTTACACCTACCTTTTGCAGTCACTAGCATAAATCGCCATGGATTTTGCATAAAGTAAATGTACAATTTCATAAGTAACCTAGTTGTTCAGTCAGAAATTTAGCCAAAATATCAAGTGCCCGTACGTAAGAACCACGCATACCTCAAGATTAAATTTGAAACACTTAAGTTGTACTTGGACGGGAAATATCCTCCTAAAATTTCAGCTTTCTAGTTTTTCTGCTTTCCGAAGTAGTAAATTTACCGCAGAAAATTCATACTT